CCACCTGTCTCCTGGGCAGGGGGCATTCCCTTTTTTCTCACCAACACTTACCTGCCAAAGGGAGGCTCTGCCAAGGGTAGGCTCTGGCACTACGATGCGCCTGATGAGGAATGTCGAGAAAAGCCTCACATGCAGCTGTCGTTAAAATTTAGTTTAAAATTCTCATAATCAGGCGGATTTGCTCACATCATACTAAATTTCTTACTGCACCTCACATGTACTGTACCCTTGCTGTACCCCTCCTACTGTACCCCTCCTACTGTGACCTTACGGTACCCTTGGTAAGATTACTGCCCAAATAAATATCGCGCTACCGCACTGCTGCACACTTCAGTGTGTGTCTACGTGTATCCTGCTGTTGCAATCACCCAAACCTGTCCGGCGCGAACGGTGAGACATCAATTGACGACTTGCCCAACACGATCATTTCTGCGACCGCCTTCCCGGTTGCTGGGCTATTCAATATCCCCCAAACAGAGTGCCCAGCGGCTACAAACGCCCCTCCCCCAGCCCCGGGCACAGCCCCAATCAACGGCAATCCATCCGGGCTCACCGGCAAATTACATGCCTGCCCAGCCACCTTCCCCATATCCACCGCCTCCCCAATCGTCTTACTCAAACCCCTTGCAAACTCTTTCAGATCCTCCACGTCCCTCTCGTCCACCCCAATCTCCCCTGGATCATCCGGCAGCTCCTCCGCGACCGCCGACTGACACATATACACCTCCCCCTCCCTGGGATAGACCTCCGGCTCCCGCGGCTCCCCTCGCCCATTCACAAACTCTGTAAACACCGCCGTCCCCGGCACCCGCGCCTGCACCACCAGACTGGCCGCCTTCTGCGCCACCACGCCCGGCATCCCCGGAAACCACTGCTGCGCCTTGGTCGTCCACGGCCCCATCGCCAGCACCAGCACATCCGTCTCGCGCCGCTCCACCACGCCCTCCTTTGTCCGCGTCGTCAGCACCCATTTCCCATCATCGCCTTTCACCACGTTCTCCACCCTCGCAATATCTACACTGGTCCCGACGTTCTCGCGCGCCCGCTCCAACAGCGCCAGCGTGAGCTTGCGCGGGTGCACCTGCGCGACGGTCTGCTCCGTGCCGATGCGCCTGGGCGGCGCGACGGGCGGCGCGTCGCCGTCGAGCCACGTCAGCGGGGGCGCGGGCGCGGCGCGGGTGGCGCGCTTGAAGCGCCGCGACGGCGGCGCGTGCCGGCTCACCAGCGACGCCGAGTAGGCGGAGAGGGCGCGGTACCCCGTGGAGGGGAGCGTCGCGGAGAGGTCGGCGTGCATGCGGAAGGAGGGGCGCGCTAGCAGGCGCAGCGCGGAGGAGTCGCACCAGTCTAGAGCTAGGAAGCCGCCCGCGCGGCCCGAGGCGGCGCAGGCAGGCGAGTGCTGCTCGAGGAGCACCGCGCGGCGCGAGTGCAGGGATAGGTGGTAGGCGATCGAGGCGCCGATTATCCCGGCCCCGACGATGGTGATGGTCGGGGAGTCGGATGGCGTGGAGGAGGCCATGTCGGAGCTTCGAGAGTGAGGCGCGATGGGCACGGCGGGGAGCTAAACTGGAGGTCGCGCAGGGCACGAGAGTCTGTTTTGTGACACGTGGGGACGCATTCGTGTTGACTGGCGGTAGATACTGGACTACCCTTCCCCACCACAGTCCGTGAGGAGCCAAAATCTTGTGTGAATTTTGCCAGGCCACGTTGGTCAAATTTGGCTGGTCCCAGCCAGGAGCTTGACGGCATACGCCGAAAAGGTAGCGTGAGGCAAGGTTCTGTTGTATTCCCAGACCTTCCTTGGCTGACGCATCGCACACAACACGTCTGGTCTTTTCACGCCTCGCAATCGAAGCAGGTGATTGCGGAGGAGGTATCGGTGGGAAGCGCTACTGTTGGAATGTGAAGATACAGCTGGCGGGAGATCGGGAATAGCTGTGGGCACTACCATCGCATGCTACGCGTGTTTCCAGAACCGAGCATTATCGCGTCGCAAATATGTCTTCTGCACACGGCGAAGAGGAGAGAGTTGCCTCCGGCGCGCAGAGGCAAATTTTACGTTTTGGGCATGCGTGTCAGATATGCGGACAGGCTGACTCCGCACGTAGGCGCGTGGTTGCGACACGGATGGTCTGCATTGCCGGTGCAGACCACATGAGGCCTTGCAGCATCGAACCACAGGGCAAAGATGATGCATTGTGACTTGAAGGACATTCTCAAACTCACATTAGTTTGATAGAATCAAAGATACAGCTGGCGGAGGCTGGCGGAGGCGTGGAGAGCCGACTCGCTTCCTTCACCTTCTCTCCCCGACAGCAGGGGAAGTTGTCGGAAGCACGCTCCCAGATCAGTATCGCTGGGAAGGGAAAGTTTTCCTCAGTGCGTTTGCGTCGATTAAATGACTAGGGCGGCGCAAGAGAACGAGCAGGAGTGGTTGAAGTGGGCGAGAGACTTCGGCGATCGCGAAATACCACCCATCCGTCTGGGGTCCCCTCCGTGCCGCCAAAATCAATTTTCACACTAGCATTTAAAGTTTGAGATAATGCTGCATTTAGGGGGGCGATCAGGTGCATTTTTGCAGTGATCAAGAGGTTACTACCCTTGGGTACACTGCTCCGACCTCACGAACTGATCAGGTGATCAGGGTAATTTGGAACGCATTCTTTTTTTTAAATGGAGAAAGTACAGCACCAAAGATCACGAGGAAGGCAGATCGATATGACACGTGTACGGGACCCACGCAAGCTGGAGACACACTAATTATTTTGCGACCTCAAGCACCTTTGCAGTCTCAAACAAGCGCTTGTTAAGACACACCCTCAGGAAGAAGAGTCCATAGAGACCCTTCCGTCACTAACCTCCTCGAGCCACATCTTCCCCCACTCGCCGTCCCACGCCATGCCGTGGACGCCCCCGATCATCCCTATCGCCTCGCTGCGCGCCAACAGCCCGGACGTCGCCCCCCGCATTGCCTCCGCCTTTGCCTCCTCGCAGAGCCCCGGCCTTGTGCTCGTCTCCGGTCTCGACGACGACTTTGCTACCCATCGCGCAGACCTCTTCGCCGCTGCCCGCAACCTCGCCGACCTTCCGCCTCCGAGTCTCAAAGCCCTTGAGATCCCATCCGCTGACTATGCCGTTGGATGGAGCCGCGGACGCGAGCGTTTTCGCGGAACTCCGGATACCCTCAAGGGAAGCTTCTACGCCAACCCCATCCTCGATCACCCCGCGGGAGACCAACAACACCTCATCCGCGAATTTCCGTACGAAACCCTCCTCATCTCCCCTCGCTTCCCCTCAACATACACCTCTCTGACCTCACTTCCCCCTCGATCCCTCGCAGCCACTACATGACCCCGAACATCTGGCCGCCGCACCCCTCATGTGCCGCCCTCGAGCCCGCCTTCAAGGCCATCGGCCGTCTCGTCAACGACGTCGCTCTTCTCCTCGCCTCCCACTGTGATGCCCTAGTCACCCGCAGACTTGGCCCGACACACCCCTTCACGAGTCTCCACGCCACGCTATGCGCCTCCATGTCCGCGAAAGCTCGCCTGCTCAACTACTACCCCTCTCCCCATCCCGCTCCGGGCACGCTATGGTGTGGATACCACAACGACCACTCCATACTAACAGCCCTGCTTGCACAGCAGTTTTATCACGCCGACACTCGCGTCCCGCTACCAGCCGCACCAGACAGGTGCGCGGGGTTGTACACTCATTCCGAGGGGAGCGATCCGCGTAAAGCTGACATCCCGCCCGGTGCCATTGCGTTCCAGGTTGGCGAGGCTGCGCAAATCATGTCAGGCGGCGTGCTCCGCGCTACGCCGCATGCAGTCCGTATGCCGAAGGGCCACACTCCGCATCTTGCCCGTCTTGCGTTTGCCGTGTTTTTGCAGCCTAATCCCTGGGATATGCTCGAGATGCCCGCCGCCTATTCAGACGATCAGGTGCGACGCGCAGTTTGTACCAGTCCGTTGGTGCCATCCCTGCAGGACGGACGGTGGCAGAAAGGAGACCGCTTTGTCGACTTTGCGGCGAAGACGATAAAGGCTTATCAGGCATGAAAGGCCAATTTGCAGCTGGTCAGCGCTGCAAGGTCGTCTTGCCGAACCTACTGCTTCAGCATTGCGACACGCCTTTCAGAACCACCCCTCACCCAAATCTCCCCTCCTTGTGGCGAGCAGCCCATACAACGCAGCGCTCAACGCTCCATTTCTCGTGCTCAATGACGAACTTTTCGAAATCCCACTCAGTTCCCGGGATCAGATCGTCTGAATTCCCCTCGGCGCGAGCCCACACGCGCGCCTGCACCGTGCGCCCCTCCTCTGTTTGCACCGGTGCGACAATTCGCTCGTACGCAGGGTCCTCGTAGGCATCGAGTAAGGCGAGCTCTGCGTCGGTAAGATCGAGCAACAGTTTGCCGCGCACTGCACTCGATTCGCAGCGTATCACTGCGGGATACACAGCACCGCGGATCGGGAAACGTGCGAAGTTCGGGAGCGTCGCGTCTTGGCGAGGTGGGACCCGCGAGAGGAGCGTGTGTAGAATGCGTGGGGACATCAGAGTACCGTAGGTGAACACAGCGTGGATCATAATGAGGTTCGTCCTAAGGGAGTTATTGGATGAGAGATCTGAGCAAGAGTGAAGCCGTCTTCCGAGCGGGCAACGCAATGAGGGCGGAGGGAGGAACCTGAATCGAAAACAGCTGTGCCGATTTATTGAAAGCGTCTTATTCATTTCCCTTGCGGGGACAATGTTATTCCACTTGCGATGTCGAAAAACAGTGCGCTGAAGGACATTAAAGGCCCTTTTCGCAGGCTACCACAGGTCGTTCCACAGTTCTGAAATTCATGCTAGTCTTGCAAACCACTAACTCACAATTGTGGGATAGGGTGGCCGCTTTGGACATTGGCGGTGTGCGTCTCAATGGAAGGGCTTAGTCGGCTACAAACTGCAATAATGAGAAAAGTCTCTTCTAGAGAGACCGTTCCCTCATCTAACTCTGGACTGTTGCAAAAAGTATCAAACATAGGTTGAAGAGATGCCTTAGAAAAATCCATCTACGCTATCGCCATACGATCTTTATCTGTACTTTCGAAACCATTTAGGACTCTTCGTCAAAGTCCGCTGGGCAGAAACCTGTGCAAAATTTAGTGCTTTCTGTCTCACTGAACATCCAAGACTTTTAAGTCTCTTCTCTTGCCTTATGGAATTCTCCAATGACTGCAGTGTTCTCCTCGTTAAGCCTTTACAAGGCCCACTTTGAGCCATAGTGCCCCTTCGTAGCCGCTTTCATGTACCATAGTCGTGCCGCCACCACATCTGTCGACAGGCCTAGCCCCTTTTCAAGACAATGACCAAGTCGAATCTGTGCCACCTCTAGTGTCCACGATCTGCAGCGCTCTTCCAATACCTAAACATCAGCTGCAGATATGTCTTGTTTTCATTGGTTTCCTGGAAAAAGTGCGATCCAAAGTCTGTACATTGGGGGAATATTGTCTTGTTCTGCGGCTCTCGCGTAAAGATGGACTCCTTGTAAGTTGTCTTCTTCAGCGCCATACCCATCATACGTACATTCACAAAGCCGTAGTTGCCCTGATGGATATCCTGCATTGGCTGCAAGGCGATAGAGCTCTACTCCCCTCCTTGCATTTGGGAAATTCCATGCCCATAGCAATGGAAACATTTGAATGCTTTTTCATTCTTTGCCGGTTGACCGCTTGCCTGAAGGAGCTCATTCCCCGTTTCCGTGGATATTCTCCATTTATCACTGATTGAGGCGTTTGTGCTCCACTTGCTAGAAGTACGTTTTCGATTGCCTGCTTAATCTGGGTCATAGATGGCCGAGAGAACCTTTCAGCTGAAAGACATCGCTGAGTAAGTTCTCGTAGACGTAGGTCTGTTATATTTTCAACCACTACCAGACGCAGCTCGCATGTTTGACGTGTTGAGATGCAAAACTGCTACTTTTCATGCGCATGTCCAAAATGTTCATGTCTTGTTAAGGTGCAACATCAGGTAACAAAGTACACACAAAAAATGCCAAACCGCCAGATCTCCCACGATGGATGAGAGAGGGGTCTCATCTCTTGAGATTTTGACGGAAGGGATTCTGCCAACCCCTGTTCTTTATTCCCTGTACATTGGAAATCCTTCTAGGAAGCTCGCTGGCAAGAGTACATTCGAGATTTCCAACTTTCGCGTGACCAACTACCTGACCTTGTGACACGCGAAAAAGAATACTATCCATTGTGAGATCTGAGTGAACTACGCCTCGAGAGCGCAGACATTCCGCTGCGCATGCAATATCTCGAAGTAGTTGAAGTTTTGATAGCAATTAATCCAGTTAGAGCGTCCCCACCGGTAGGGTCCAAAAATGGGGTCCAATCCAAATTTTTGCACACTTGGCGAAGTATTAGTGGTGATACAACTGCGGAAGCTGTGATGCAAATTCTGAATCCAACTCGTTGGATTGGACCCGAGAAAATCGGTTACCTACCCCACCCATGCCAAATAAAGTTGCAGATCCAACGCCGTTGTACGAGGTCGGTGGTGAGCAGGGCCTGTTGCAGAATGGCCTCTGCAGGTTCGCTCCTGGACACAATGGCGGATGAGGAAGCGGAGGAAATGGCAATTGCGATCTGGATGCAGATGGTGTCCATTGCGGTAGTGACTGGCGCAGAGGAGACGAAGACGCGGGGCTCGAGGCCAGGGCGCGCAGAAAACTTCGAGCGCACACGCGAGCGGGGGCACCGGCAAATCATGCTAGACTACTTCTGGCCTAGCTCGCTGGTTCGGAATGACGAGTTTGGGCAGAAGGGTCCAGTGTACTCCGAGGTGCTCTTTGAGCGAAGGTTCAGGATGCCGCGAGCAGTCTTTGATAGACTGTTTGCGGCAGTGGTTGCGCGTAGTGCGTATTTGCGTTCTGGGTTGAAGCTCGATGCGATCGGTAGGCTTGGCGCAAGCCCGCTGCAGAAGGTGGTCGCGGCGCTGAAGCAGCTGGCGCACGGGGCCGGGGCCGATAACTGCAATGAATACTGCCGCATCTGTGAGTTGACTGCCCTTCGCTCCATGAAGGAGCTGTGCGAAGCAGTGGTCGAAGCGTTTGGTGCGGAGTGGCTACGAGCACCGAAATCGGCTGAGCTGCTGAGAATCGAAGCTTCTTTTAGTCGCGCAGGCTTTCCCGGGTGCATCGGGTGCTTGGACTGCGCCGGGTGGGAGTGGCACATGTGTCCGAAGGCGCTGCAGGGCATTCATAGTGGAAAAGAACGTAAACCTACTCTTCGGCTGGAAGTTATCTGCGATCTTGACCTCCACATCTGGCATGCGATGTTTGGGATGCCCGGCATGATGAACGACCTCAATATATTAACACTGAGTACGCATTTTGCTAATGTCCTTGCGGGTCGCTTCCCACCGGTAGAAGCCAAGTATGAGGTTCATGGAGAACAGTTCAATTGGCTGTATTATCTTGCCGACGGTATATATCCGAGTTGGAAGATTTTCATCAAGTCGTTTAGCTCGGCCAGCAGCGAAGCAGAGAAGACATTTTCTGCGAACCAAGAGGCTGCAAGGAAGTGCGTCGAGCGCGTATTTGGGGTTTTATTTAAGAGGTTCTCTATCCTATGCATACCAGGTAGGCTTTGGGCTGCAGATGAAATGCGGACAGTGCTCATGGCATGTGTTGCTATTCACAACATGATCGTGGATGTGAGGAGGCACAACTACAAGAAGGATGGCGTTGGAGGAACCAGATACGATGGGCCACCGGAGGCCAATGCAAAATTGGTCTCTTTGCCGGCAGCTGATGACGAGGACATTGTCAGTAGGCTCAGCCACATGGCGAACGTGTCTGACGATACGAAGTCGAAATCGAAGCACAAGAGGCTCCTGAATGCCCTGGTGAAACATCAGTGGCGCAAGCTTGGCGACGACTAGAGATTTTAGCGCCAGTCGTGGTGCTGCAGTAGATGGATATGCCTATACTTCGTAAAGTGAGCCCTTGGTTCGATGCAAGCGTCTGTCCGATGCTTGCTGAGTCTGCCTACCACAAGCTATTACTCCTGGAGGTCCTCAGCATCCTGGCGGTAAAAGACACTCGAAGACTGGGGCCCCTCTTCTTCAGGGTCATCAGCAGATGGCTGAGGAGGCGCGCTTTCCTCCGAAACAATCAAGCGGTCTAGCTCTGCCTTTTGCACGCGCTGGAGGAAGATAGGCTTTCGATCTGCAGGGGTCCCCTCCATGCTGAACAGGCGCAAGCGGTACTGGCGCTCTTCGATGGCGACGAGGTCCTCCGCAGTCTTCGCCCGCTTCACTGCGGCATCAGCCATCCTCGCGACTGCAGCTGCACCATCCTCGAGTGCCTTTGCCTGACGATTTCCTACGGCCCTGGCCTCTATTCGCGCGGCCCCAGCAGGCCGCTTCTTCCTCACAGCGGCGCCGGCGCTCCCTCCCGAGGCCTCATGAGACTCCGCAGCCTCAATCTCGTCCTCGAGCACGATGTCGGCCGCAGGTGACGGAGCGTTAGTCACAATCGCAGATCTTGGACAAGCGCGTGCGGCGGCTATCGCACCCATGATGGACGACCAGAGATTGGTGGGTGCTGCGAAGAAACGAAAGCGCTTTGAGGAAAGGAAAGTCAGCTCCAGGATCAGCGAAGTCCGGGGCAACGTATGCGTAGAAGTCGGAGAAGGATGCTCGCTTGTTATACGCCGCAGGCGTGAAGCGCATAAAGTCCTCCACAGAGGGATCACCCGTAGGCTTGAGGGCTTTCGCCGATAGGTAGAGGCCCTCAAAGGCCAAGGACTCCTTCTTGACCAGCTTGTATCGCTGCAAGATCGCGCAGCCCGTGCGCTCCTTCATTGCGATACTTGCATCGCTGTTCGCGTCGCGGTCGTCGCACAGCTGCTGGTACTTCTTCCCGACTTGCGCCTCGAATAAACTCCGCTTCTTACCGGCGCCCTTAGACGGGTCTTCGGATGCTTTCACGAACGCTTTGGCAGCAAAGAAGCTCTCCAACGAGCTCCATGATTTGCCGGAGCCCATGTTTGGTGCAGCGATGCATCGGGTTGGCGACCAGAGGCGGCACCGTTTGTCGATTGTGGCAGTTGAATGCGAAGTACTCATCCCGC